GAAATGAAGGTCCCCCTAACAATGTTATCTCAGGAGATTCATCGAAACCAAGTTTCTCTTCGTATCTAGTATTGCTTATTTACTAGACTAAGTAAATAGTAAGTCGTGAAGTTATTGGTGAAAAGAAGTGATAAAAGAGTCAGCCAATAGGATCATGTATTTATCACGACACCACTTAGTAGTTGTGAAAGTAGAATTCGTAAGGATTTCGGAATAGATATATGGACATCTTCCTAAGGTAGTTCAGAACCGAGAATGCACATACTCCCATTGCGAGCAAACCGATGCTTTACTTAGGGTTAAGAGTCTTGAAAATCAGGTGCATTCTTGTTTCTAATGAGCAGTACAACGGCGGCAGATTCGGCAACTAGACAGATACACACAATGCCAAGAAGTGATAGTCCAAAACTAAAAAAATAAAAAAAATGAATTTGAACTCGATTATAAAACCCACCTTTTCAATTCGCATCTTTGCTAGTTGGTTTTCGGCATCTATAGCCTCGAGTCGGCGTTTGTTTTCTACTAACTTGTCCTGAATAGTTGCCTCTTGTCGAGCCAAATCACTGACTTCTGTGCGCAGACGAGCAATCTCTTCTTCCTGACCCTGAAGTATGATATTTGTGCAAATCGTACTCATTATAAAAAAATAAGATTCCTATATCTTTAAATCGTTGAGATAGATCATTCTGAAAGAGTAATGCATAATTTATATATAATATAAAATAATACTTAAGCTCTATTCAAGCCATTAAAGATCGAATCCATCCATATTTATTGATAATTGAGTTTAATTTTGAATATAAAGTCGCAAGAACATCCCGATAAACAACAAATTTATGAATAGTTACAATTGTATTTGGATCTAAAAGGAAAGTTTCCGAATGGATAACTTTGAGGATGTGATCAGGAAGGTCGACACAGATTTGAAAAGCTAGGTAAGAATGAATCCAAGACAGGATAACTTTACAAAAGTATTCTCTATGCAATGGCGAAAAGCAAATTAGTAATCTAGAGCTCTAATAAGATATTTATCAACTCTAGATAACATAAGGTGATGGAGGACTGATGGATAGATTTTCTTAAAATGGTATAAGTCGACCAGTTGAGGCGCTTTCTCTTTGTCTGTAACTATCTAGTTAGGTCTATCAATCGATTATGAGTACTCAACATACTCATAGAAAATAGGAATCTATAATATAAAGAGATCGTGAATGGGAGCTGTAGAACCCCTTACTCAAGTAGACATTACTCAAAAGGAGATTATTCCTCAGGAGAATAGAGGCCCATTGAAGTTCGGAAGCTGAACAGGGGAAAAAATTTGATAATCCATAAAAAGAAGAGCAATAATAAAAGCTTACAATTACTGGCTTGGAATTAATGTATAAGGATGCTGTCTCGATCAACACATTTTAGCAGGAATTGATGTACGATTCTTCAAAAACTAACTTATTACAGCTGTCGCGGGACGATTGAAACAGAGAAAGCAGGGCAACGGTTGAATCTTCTAGAGTTATCCTGCTTGATTTTTCTCAAGAAGTAAAAATCAAGCTCAAAGAGCTGTGGGGGAAAATTCAACAACCAGTTCATCGCCTTAAATGAGATAGGGTGAATACAGCCCTTATATTAGATATAAAGGTAGTCTTGAAAACCTACTTATAAAACGGCAAATAGAGTTACGCTACTTGGGAATCCATAGCAAGCAAACTTCGCGTTTGAACTTAAAGGTTCATGATTCGAGTATCGCATAGCAAACCAATGAAGTGAGATAGGAACTAAGGTTCATAAATACATAAAAAGATTTCCTTGTGATGTAAATCAAAGAAATATCAAATTAAAAAGTAGATTTCTCTTCAACTCCACATAGACACTTTTACCAGTATATGAAAAATAGCTTGGATCCGTAATAGGTGCAAACAAAAATAGTACATAAAATTACAATGCATATGTGTTAACTAAACAAGATACGACATGAAAATAACCTAAACATATTCTCTGGAATGTATCTGACTAAACCAAACTTACAGATAAGTTCAGATGTGCTATAAACTAAGTCATCGCATTCACAAATGTCAATGAGCTAATTAGAATAGGTGTAATCATGCAAAAATCCATTTTTTCTTCTTATACACAGATTCGTAATATGAAGGCCAGGAAATCAAAAAATACAACTTGAAGCAGCTATGAAGAGCAAGACGACGTGACCTTACGTTTGTTCGAGAATCCTCATCCTACAGAGTCGGTTTAACCTCTGTTCATAGCTTTACCAAACTGAGGCAAATGAGGCGTTGTCGAGTTAATCTAAGGAGTTATTAGTTAGAAGCAGGCATTGTAATAAGTTTATTATTCAATGACGTATAAACGCACAGCTACAATGGGAGACGCAACAGAGCATGTCCCACGAAATTTATTTGCTAGTATGGAAAAGTTGTAAAAGAAAGAACTAAACTCAAAAATGCAAGCTTATTCAAGCACTTATGAGGTATAGAGCGAAAGGTTTAGTTCATGTAGCATGTCAATCTAGAAGAATTTTTGTGTCCATGCTTTAATGTGTGTAGGTGCGTTCAGGTGTGCGGAAAATTATGAAACGGCAGTGATAACGCTAAGTAATTAAAACAGTGTAGTCGTCTTAAGCCATTAATTGCTAAGGACCCTTTATTGACCATCTTCCCGATTGTGCAAAGCCGGAAATGTCAGAGTAAGTTGATTAGCTTTTTTAAAGTGTGGGGGGAGAGAAAGATATGTATAAAGCGTAACTGCAATTTAAACCATAATCAGGATATTAAGATTATATTTTAAAAGTTTACGGAATTTGACGAAAGTCAAATAATCTAGTTCAGTAAATAAAATGAGGTATAGAGCTATAATCATTTAGAACAGAAAAATAATAAATAATAATTTTTATAAAAAGTAATATTTATGAAAATTAGGCTTAAAAACTATTTTAAATAAGAGTTCGAGTTAGTATAGATAGCATAAGATGATGAAAGAATAATAGATGGATTTCGCCACACTGATATGAATAAGTTAGTGAATTTCACCTAGTCTTCTTTCCAAAATAGATACTCTCCTCTAAGATGGACTGCATTTTCGACCTCATCTAGGTTTAATCAGCAACCCAACGGGAATCAAACCCGATTAGTGCAGCGTATAATTTTGCCATGTCACTATTAGGTCACAATGCCACCAGTGTCGGCGGGTGACAAGGCAGAGGCGAATATAATGCAATCTAAATCTCTCCCATACCGGATGCTATGGTGGCATTTTTGGTGCAAAAATTTTGTATTTTCCAATACAATCAAAAACATTAAAAAAAAGTGGGTTTCGAGCCGAACACAGGGCAAAGACTGGAGATGAGAAAGAATGGTCACAAATGAGGAGGTTTGTTGATTATGGTAGGTCAGCTACGAAACGCAAGATATAGAGAAACTATTGAAATTAATAGATTAGGGAACATGTTGAATGTGAAGAACGGTGGTAGAAAATTGAGTAAGATTTTCTTATATTTGATTGAAACATTGAAGGAGAGAGCGGGTGATGAGCCGCCGTCCAAAAGAACGAATAAACTTGCCAGCTGAGCGATGTTTCTAACCATATTCGAAACTCGCTCAACAGACATGTCAAGTTCATCAACGAAAACAGGGGTACGAGACTATCCATGCTTTTCCTTGGGTCATTAAACCTTAATAACACAGAATAACGGATTCGGACTGGAGGTTTCGTTACCTGACTTTCACACGTACAGGCTTATATTTCATCAATCCAATCAGAGTTACTTACTGACTAACACAATCTCGGTCATGCTTTTCCTAGGGTCATCAAGCCTTGATTAACGGGACTGAAGTTATGCTTTTTTTCTAATTACTCTTAATTATACCCAGTAATATGTACAGACGTTAACACACATGAACAGTCACGTACAATCGAAAATAAGAGAACTAATTTATCCAACTATTTATTGAGCCTAATAAAAAAAAGTAGAACAACACCTGTGGGTTGGCACACAAGAGACTAACAAATAGGATGTCATAGACTTGGTATTATGGATAGAAACAGGATAGATAGGGTGGAAACCAGAGCTATTTGCCTAATAATAGACGTTTTTCATTATAGACGTAGTCCATGAAGTAGACCATGAAAATTAATCGGGGTATTTAGTTTCAAGTTAATCTTCCAGACGCAGAGTGTGGTAAATAACGCCTCGTGTAGCACAGATGGGGTGGCATGGGTCGAGTGAAATATTTGAACCAGGGCGATAGCAGAGGGATCCTACGGGGCAAGATGGAGACTGATAAAGCCTAGGGAAGAAGGAGTGCGTGACAATATGGCAGACTCTGATCAACATTCCCAGCACAAGGACGAAGTGGAATGAAGAAGCCAGCATGGAGTGTGGAGAGTTCTCATTAAATCAGCTCAAAAGGTAACAGCATACCACATGTAAATAAGTAAGAAATTGTGATAGTGAAGGCGTGATACAAGATATAGGATTGCTGAAGGAAGGAGAGAAACCACAATTGTTTAGCACACAATTAGTTAAAGGATCGTCTTCACCTGTCTTTTTGACGACTTGTAATGTGGTGCTAAGAATGGCTAGATTCAGACGATGCCGGCTATGATTCCGGCGAAAAGTCTGGGAATGTACCACGTCCACTGTCCAATTCTGGAAGTTATCATGCGTACTAGGGACTCTGGACTAGGTGTGTTCCTCTAGGTCTTCCTACCAATATGGCCAAGTTGCGAAAACAAGGTCAACCAACTTCTATATCTAAATATGTTTTCTTCATATGAGTAAGTATATCATGTAGGGCAGAACCGTTCAGTCATCTTGACTTAGTGTTAACGTGACACTTTTGCAAGAATAAGTACCAACTATGATGGTGTTAGTCATGTGATGAACGACAGCTCAATCCGTTTAAGCCCGAAACGAGGAATGTTTCGTGAACGTTGTCATTAACCTGAACGTCGTATTATAGCTAAACGGTTGCAGTACAGCGAGAATCAGCCGCCTTATTCAAGTGAGATCGGACTAAGAATCTCGTTATTACGCACGTTCGTACAAAATAAAGGTTTCCAAATGCATTAAATTACTACGTTATGTCACATAAAGTAGATTTTAAGACTATCAGTATAACATGAACAAGAGTTATAGTCACCCAAGGTCGCATTAGGCGATGGAGTGGGAACTGAATTTTCCCGCAATTATATGAATATACTCCAAAATTCCATTGGATTTTACTTAGTCAAGCGGTAAAATTTCTAAAATTAAGGTTGCGTGACCCAGGTTCGAGACCCGTTAAGGATGCTGAAGAGGTAGAAATTGCAGTCCATTCTATAATATAATACCTTTCAGGAAGAAAGATCAAGTGAAATTCAATGGCATCGTGGGGGCTATGTATATAGAAGTGGTCTGACCTCGTTTTTTTCAAATTGATCATCTCTTTTCTGAGTTGTAATGTGGTGTTAAGGATGGCAAGGCTCACTGACGATGTCGATTATTATGCCAGCTTCTGGAAATGTATCAAGTACCAAGTCCGACGCTTGAATATTATGGCAGAGGATTCTGAGGAAGAGGCGTTTATCTATGTTGCCCTGACAACATGGACGAGCTGCAAAAACGGGGTCAAACTACTTCCATCCAGC